CACTCTTTACTTGTGTCAGATTATTCTACTTTCATGTTTGATTTGAGATAAAAAAATGAAACGAGGATAAATCGGAGAACTGTGTTCTTTCCCTTCGTCTTTATCATGATGTAATAAAAGCTCAACTTGTCTTTGCAATCACTTTTAGTTCACAAAACCTGTAGGTGTCTTCTTTCATCTATGGTTTAAATGGTTCCCAAACAATACAAAAAAATAAAAGACTGAAATTGTTTTGATTACTTAAAATACACTAATAACATGTAAATTATTACATTTAGGATTTACGTTTTAATAAGAGTAAAACTATTTATTTTAAATTGTGGAAATAAAAAGTCTGGGCAGTTGTTGAACTGCAGTAAAGTAAATTTACAATTAAGCATTCAGACCACAGATGCAATTTTGTAATTTCACATGTGCTTTATCAAATGCTGATATGGCCAGTGTCATTTCCATGCAGTGATGGGTGTAACTAGTTACTAAGTAATTAGTTACTGTAATTTAATTACTTTTCCCTCTAAAAAGTAAAGTAAGGGATTACTTTTATTTTTTCTGTATTTTAATTGCAGTTACTTCTTTTGTAATTGAACTTAATACTGTGTATAGACTGTAAAACATTTATATACAATACAATACAATAGTGGATTTAACATCGAAATTTAAAGTCTAACCTTAAAATGCATGCTTTTTATGTACCCTTCTCACTTTAAATACTTTGGTGAGTTAATAAGAATATTGGTAACACTTTAGTGTCCAATTCTCACTATTAACTAGTTGGGTATTAGCATGAATATTACTGGGATATTGGCTGTTTATTATTACTTAAAAAGCACATATTAATGTCTTATTCTGCAAGACCTTATTTTAAATCCTTAATCCTACCCAATTCTTAAACTTAATTGTCAACAACTACTTTATTAAGTATTAAAAAGAAGTAATTAGGAGTATATTGAGGCAAAAGTATAGTTTGTTCATAGTTAATTGTTATTAGTGAGAATTGGACACTAATCTAAAGTGTGACCAGAATAATTTATGTAGTTATCTATTATTTATTTGAAAGAATTAAAAGAACCGTCTCATGTCTATCCTTGCATCATTCATTAACTTTGATATAGGATTTAGAAAGTAATTAGTATTAAGTAATTAAATACTTTTTGGAGAGAGTAATTTGTACAGTATTCTAATTACACTGTTGAAGATGTAATTAGTAACTAGTAATTAATGACTTTTTTTGAGTAACTTACCCAACACTGTTTCCATGACATCTTAAATTATGTATTGTGTTTAGTAGTATTGGAAATGACATTTTCATACATATTTAGAATAAAATGGCCTATGTTTTAGGCTCAATATTTTTCTAACATTTTCTCCCAAATACATTTTTACATCACATAATTTCACACATTTTACATAATTTAAATTGTTACATAATTTGACAAAATAAAATAAATATAAAAATTATATTACTGTTTTCACTTTTCACCACGCATCTCGTGTTAAATTTGTTCCCAAGCTTTATCCAAATAGACCTAGAATAACCTTTATTTATTTGTTTGTTTTGTTTGAAAAATCCACATAAATAATTTTCATTCAATGTCGAACAAATTTAGTCTATTTCCTTGGTTTACATCAATGAAGAAAGACAAATACCCGTTGTATCGTTGTAAATTCATATATCTCTCCGAGTTGGTATTCTCTGAATTCCCACAGGAGAACCTTAAAGGGGTCATATGATGCGATTTCAGTTTTTCCGTATTCTTTAGCATGTTACAAGCTCTTGGTGCATAAAGAAGATCTGTAAAGTTGCAAAGACTAAAGTCTCAAATCCAAAGAGATATTCTTTACAAAAGTTAAGAGTCAGCCACGCCTACCTAAAACGGCTCGTTCTAACACGCCCCCACATATCTATGTCACGATGTGGGAAGATTTGCATAACGCTGCCCAAATGTTCACGCATAGAAAGAAGGCCTAACTTTTATTCTGGCTGTATTGTTGTTGAATATACCGCCGCCATGTCCTGAAGACGCTGTGTGTTTCGTTGTGAAAGCGAAACAAATTTGTTTGGCCTTCCAAAAGAGGAAGATATCCGCTTCCTCATGCCTGGAGCTGATCCATGCTGGTCGCTGAGGAAATACATCAACTTCGATCGGCGGATCGGCTTTCACCGTGGACGAAGCGAGTCCAGCCCGGGGTCGTCACATGTGGTTGCCGCAGGCATCACAATATGGTAAGGGACGTAATTTTTCTGCCATATGTCTATTCTAGAGAAATTTTGTTACACCTTTACTTAGTGATTATTTTGCCTTATGTCTGTTCTAGAGACATGTTAAGGCGTTCTTCATGTTTAACGTCTATTACCAATAAACACGCAGACTGCTGGAATACAAAAACATTGTTTTAGGTCGAGCTCGATTTGTGAAAACTTTCACAATCGCATTTTATCGCGTGGCAGTGTTTATCTTTGCTCTGCCCCCCGTTTTTTGTAGCCTATAATAATGTAATTCGGTGCTGTTCCTGTGAATAACGGTTTCCAATTCATTAGGTAGCTAAATGAGCACATACACATATACAATTGTACACTTTGTTTGACAATAACGTTTTGGTTGTTGTACCTTTCCTTGAGTACTTGGCTTCAATATTCTGATTTGCAAAAGTTTCACAGTATAGCTGTTGTCAGTTAACCCTTTCTTGGTCATTATAATCCGTAATTATGTCCCCACTGGATGCCACAAATGCCTCGTTTATATTGGGTTTTAATGTTTTTGTCTCGTAGCTCCGGCCGGACAGGGCATCACAATATGTTTTTTAATTTTTTTTATTAAGTACAAAATCTGAATACAACAAACTAGCATTAATTAGTATACAAAAAAGATTCTGGTATGGAAGGCTCAACACAATAGAATCATACTAAGCTCCAGACAAATCATATAATAAAACATTCCAAGAAACATAAAATATAAAATAAAAATAAATTAAATAATAAAAAATACATAATTACAACAAATTATATAATACAAACAAATTAAGTAGTTTTACTGCTTTTGGATTTTTCATTTTACTAAGGGCATCTGAGAAGTATTTTAGATCAATTTTAAATACAATAAACAAAGGAGGGGATTTAAAATATCTACATTTATGTATAAAGTATTTTGCTAATAATATAATATTATTAATCAAATCGTACAAAACAGAGCACTCTTTGGTTATTCCGTACATTACATCTTGTAAGGTTAGAGTGAAACCATCAGCAATCACACCCTTCTCTACCATCCAGTCCTGCAATGCCTTCCAAAAAGACTGCGACAAACTACATGTAAAAAATACATGTTCTGTATCTTCAACTAAATATTTGCATAAATAACAGGGCTCATTTTCAAAATGAAATTTTGAATGTAGAAATTTATTGGAGGGATATATCTCATTTAATATTTTAAATTGCATTTCTTTTACCTTGGGGAGAATAGGAAATTTTAGATAGGCTGTTCTGAAATATTTAACAGTGCTTTCATCAAATGTATGATCTAATTGATTTCTTAATATTTGACAAGGGTAGCACGACTGGATGATATAATGTCTTATATATTTGTTAGTGCAGAGTTTGTTTTCTATCTCAATATCACCAACATATAATAAAGGAAGGACTGCAGTGATTTTTGAGTAGGAAAGAGAACATCTCATTAACATTTTTACACCTGAGGGTATTGCATTAATAACAGTAAAGAATTGCTTTGGATGACAGGCAAATCCGTGTTTTAAAGTAAATGCATTGTAATTTAACATATTACCAGTCTCATCCATTAGATCCAACACTGACCAAATATTTCTATTTACCCAGTCCTCATAAAACAGGGATTTGTTTCTGTGAAGAATATATTTGTTATTCCATATAGGAGTATTGTGGGGTGTAAAATTGTGTGTGTGTGCCAATTTCCAGCATAATAAGACTTGTTGGTGGAATGCTGATAGCTTCACTGGAACTTTGGATAAATCGAAGTCACATTTGAGAAGGAAGCGGATACGACCCAATTTACGAAACAAAGCTGAAGGCACTGCATACCAAAAGCTCTCAGTATTACCTAAAAACATTTGAAGCCACTTAAGTTTTAACACAGTATTCATACTCTCAAATTCAATTACATTCAGACCACCTTCTTCGTACCCTTTGATAATATCAGATTTTCTAATATAATGAGTTTTGTGCCTCCAAATAAAGTCATACATTTTTTGATTGCTTGTTTTTATAATAACTGAAGAGGGAGCTAAAGAAAAAGCTGGATAGATCAGTCTAGATAGATATTCAACTTTAGATAGAAGAATTCTCCCGAAAATAGACACATCTCTCTGTAACCAGCTATTCAAGATACCATTGTTTTTTTGTATTTTATTTTCAAAATTTTCTTTCATACTAATCTTCAAATCTTTGGAAATAGAAATGCCTAGATCACCGTCACTTTAACTGGAATGTTATACAAGGACAAATCTTGAATGGGGTGTAAGGCCAAAAGTTCACATTTGTTTAGATTTAGTTGAAGGCCTGAAGCTTTACAAAAGGAATTGATTAGAGAGATAGCCAGAGGAATTTGGTCTTTGTTTTGTAAAAATAATGTCGTATCATCTGCTAGCTGACTGATTGTTAAGGTTTTCCCAAATACATTTAATTTCTTCACAGATGAATCATGACTAACCAAAACAATAATGTACAGTATGTTTTTTTCACCTTAAACCGCATAAACACATTTCATTACACCAAATACACAAAATAATGTTCTTTTTAGCAACATCATATGAACCCTTTATACTCTGTATAACTTCTCCAGAACCTGCTGTTTAAAAATGCATGAAGCAGGTCAGTGTCATTACACTGCTAGTGAGCGACGAGCGAAACTACAACGCTCGCAGTAACAGCCTCCATTGATCAACGAGACGAGCGCGGCGTAGTCTGCTTTTGTCGCGTCGCGTCGCTCGCTCGCAGGGGTAGATGGGTGTAACGTTAGTGGGTGTGTTCATTCCCTGCATTCAGTGCGACGTCTCTTCTCACTAACAGTTTAAGATGGCGACCGTGCATCTAAGGATCGGGGATCTGGTTTGGTAAGATAACAATTTTTAACTTTATTCGATTTAATTTCACGTCGAGGTTAAATTATTTTTCGTGCACGTGAAAGGCATTTTGTCGTGGCTGCAATAAAATGTTTTGTTAAAAATCTAACATATGGCCCAGTTTATGTGTCGTCAAGCCAAACGCTGAGCAGCAGGCTTGAGAGCGCTTAGCATACAAGCTAACGCTTAACGTAACGTACTTCATATGCTTTTGGAGGAAAACCTGCGATGTTAGTGTGTTTAACAATAAAAGAGTGTTTCATCTTAAGTTTAGGTGTGTACGTTAATTATATAAACAATGAATTTAATACAAGCTTCGGTGCAGTTAGGGGGCAGTTTGCTGATGGGGTCGAAACGGGTTTTGCTATACACTACGTTAGCTTGTTTCGAGGCACGAGATCTTTTAGTTAATAAACGCTCAATCGTGTCACGTTTTATTTAAAATACTAACTTATCGTCTCAATATATGTTTCAGGGGTAAGCTTGGACGCTATCCACCTTGGCCAGGCAAGGTAAGATCTTTTCATGTAACGTAAACGGTCGAGTTGAACTTCTGTTGTTTTTCTGAGGTCAGCTGTTGGCTCTTGCATATAGAGGTCGAAGTTGTATTCAAAACCTAGTGAGCTAGCTATCTAGAAAGCGTTTTTGGTTGCTTTCAATCAAACCAAAGCAAGAATGCTTCAAATTAATCGTTAAAACAAGTCCAGAAATGTTTTCTGTGTAGACAGTTGACTGAGTTTCAGAGACAGCTACTGTATCAGCAGACTAATTTGGATAATGTGTTGGTTTGTCACATTTACTGATCCCTAACTATTGTGTTTTCAGATCGTCAGTCCTCCGAAGGATCTGAAAAAGCCAAGAGGCAAAAAATGTTTCTTTGTCAAGTTTTTTGGAACTGAAGATCAGTGAGTACAGACAAGATCGTAGTCTTTTACCATCACTTCCTCTTGTTTGCAGAGGATTTGAGAGTTTAAACCAAGCAGATTTTGACTTTTGATATGCGTTGCCCTTTTAGCGCCTGGATAAAGGTAGAGCAGCTGAAGCCTTACCACCCCCACAAAGAGGAGATGATCAAGATAAACAAAGGCAAGCGCTTCCAACAGGCTGTTGATGCAGTTGAGGAGTACTTAAAGAAGGCCAAGGGGAAAGATCAGGTTAGTATCTTGTTTCCACCTTGGCTTTTCCATGATCTGATCGCAAGTGGTCAGCTGAGACGTTTTGTGGCTGGTTTTAAACTGCTTGAATGTGTTCATCTTGAATGCGTCTTCTCCTTATTTTGTCACACTGTACATGTACAAAATGACCTTGCGTTATGCGGATTATGAGCAATCGGACAATGACCTAAAGGATAAAGAAAGCAGGTGTAACTTTTTTTTGACCGTAACTCATATGCTTTTGTACAACGCGGCAAAGTTTAAACTGCTTGTTTTGGTGCGCCTTCTCAGAAGAGGTCCTACAGTGATTACGTATTAGGCCAGTAGGCGATATTTTGCGACTGTTCGAATGTATTCGATCACATGAGCGCCTACACTACAAAAACAGTCTGCTTAAGTGTGTGGAATGTGAACAAGCTCAAAATGTTTTATACACAATTTACACCTGTATTTAGCACTGTCCACTTCTAATCGGATTGACGAAAATGCATGTAATAATACCAGCTGTAAAACGCCTAAAAGAACCACGTGGTCTGTTTTTGTTGTTAAAGGGATAGTTCACTCAATGAAAAATTATATATATATATATATATAT